ACTCGGGATACTCGACTTCTATTTTCTGCAAAACTTTCACGGCAACACAAACTTTACTGGAAATGTTTTTAAAGTTATGTTTTATACAACTTATTTCTACTCAGATCACCACAAGATTATACGTTCGCATCGATTCCTTTGTTTTAGTATGTTTTCATTGCCGTCAGTTTACGATGTCGGTACCTCGATACTTTTATACCCAAATAACTGTATTCCGAGGGCTTAAGATCACGTGTTTGTTACTAATTAAATGTCTTGATAGACACCGAATGTTCAAGATGCATTAATATATTCATACATTTATTTATGCTTCTTATTTCGGGCGTGCCTTACTATCTCGGGAGATTATTGAAACAAAGAATATCTGTTTTTAATAGCAACAATACCTACAAATAATTAAATTTAAATAACAAACACAAACGTACAATCTCTTTTATTTTTAATATCAGGGGGATTAGAGGGATTTATGCCCAAAACAAAAGGAATAAAATTGATATAATTAAAAGTACAAGTCTTGGTTTTTCTATTGTTTTAAGTATACATTATTCATAAATTTTTTATCGACTGATAGGTTCAAATAATGAAAATATTGACAGTTCATAACAAATGTACTAAAAAAAATGATCAATTTTTATTATTTTATCCGTAAAGATATTTTAAATTTAAAAACAATAACGTGTGCCATAAAAATGTATACATTTCATCAGATTATATTTGATCTGTTTTAATACATATTTATGTGAATTTTATTGTTCTTAATTATATGTTCCGAATTATTTGTGATAGTAATAAAATTTTGATTTTTATTTACATTTATTGTTTCGTGTTACGGTATATATATTGAAATATAATTTATGTATCTTTTGTGTCACGGGTTTACGATTACTTAAATATTAAGTCAATACTCCATACGTAATTAATAGAGTAAGAGAATTTATGTTTAGTATTTCAAATCAACGTGTATAAAGGTGAAAAGATATGAATACGTGTATATTTTTAATCCTGGTGACTGGTGAGGGTGTAATAAATATTTTTGTACACCTGGGTGGCTTTTCACAAATAGTCGTAATGTCGGTGTGATCATTTTAATTTAAAGCGGATTGTAAATCTTATAGCGCATTACAGATGTCATCTGTAAATTGGAAACACCGGTTACGACTTTGTTCGTTCACAACGCAATGTGTTAAATTTTTATATTTTGTTTTTAATTGAATTAATGTTATACAACTAAAATTTCCTTTAAATTTCTACGTATAACCGTATGACACTTTTAATATTTCAAAAATATTATCTAGCTATCAAATGTGAATAAAATGTTTAAAAAAATAAGAAAAATAAATGATCCTTGATTATTTGCGTATATTTATTCCAGATAATTTGGTTTATACTAAAGTAAATTTTACTTCGCTTCAGACACACTCCTCCAAATGAAATGTGGAAAAGGTTTGATGACCAACCTATATATTAGAATTTCTTTAGCAGATATTCATGAATAGTATATTTGCCAAACTAGGAATCTAACAAAGCGTCTTTAAGATTAACATTTAAAAGAAGACACTTTCGAAGAGGTTAGACTGTGAAAGCTAAATTTATTCCCAAAAAAAATTGAGAGCCGATCTATTTATGTTTCTGACGCAGCCGCGGGCGTCTTTGTCACAGACACCAGATTGTAATTACTTCCACTTATATTTTCCCGTCATCGTGTCAATTAGTTTACGAACCTCCCAAATATGTCAGCTGTCGGAGAATCCAAAATAAACATCGCAAGCAACTGGTTCAACACTTGAACACTTTAATGTTTTTGTTACGAATATTTTATTAAATGAAACACACAAATAACGTGCAAATCGAAACTTAATACTAAATTTTTTGAACAATAGACGATGAAAAAACAATTATATGAAATACCATAGCATTATAAATATATATTTCAATGGTTTATATATATCCTCTGTAAGTTAGTCATCAAGTTTTACGCCATTTTAACCTCTGTTGTTGATATTATCGCGCCTGTACAAACAAATGCAGCCGTAATTTCACTTCATTTAGCACGTAGTCATCAGTTCAACTTGAACACTGACGTAATGTTCTTACAGACAGAGAAATAATATTTTCTCGTCTCAGATTTATACGTTACGCCTGTCAGAAACTGATTTACGCTGTGTCTGTCACGTTAAACAAAGGGGTCTTGTCGAAATCTATGTGAACGTGATGTCATACGTTCAGAAGTTGAACACGTTTCCTAATTAATGGTCTAGCTTTTATGGTTCGGTTAATATTTTAAGATCAACTAAGAAAGAAAAAAATAACACGAAACATTCCTGTCAGACGAAATTTACGGTCCGTTGTTCATTGTGATTGCTCAAGACCGAATATTATAGCTGAGAACGAATCGACTGTATTCTTTTATTCCACACAACTGTAAAAGTAGCCTTAGTCTCTGTTTATGAACTGCTCCTCGTGCCTTTAACGTAGAGCTATTGTAAGTTAAATAACCAAAAGTTTTCTGTCGATTGAGCAAAAGTAAAAAACTGTTTTCAAGGTTCTTGAGAGAGATTTAAAAAATTGTAGTTTGTAACGGTTCATTTATTTTATGGTTTCAATTAAAAAGATATTTAAATAACTTTAAACTAGTAAAATAAATTACTTAAAACTACGAAATATGTACTAATTTATTTTAATAGATTTTCTCATTGTTTTTTTGTTACAGTTTAATGATTTACTGAATTTTAAAATACACAAAACATAAGCATATTTGGCTTTCAACAGAGAATTTAATATATCCAAACATTTAAAGAAACATATTTAAGCAAACAAAATGATATCGACTATCTTATTATATTCTGCAAATATAATAGCATAATTTATTATCTCCTTATTTTAATTATTATTAACTAACACGGGAGCTTTATCTATAATCAGTAATTCAAGATGATACAAGAAAACCTCTATACATATTGTGTTACATCAAGATTGTCAACGAATTCGTGCTACGGGTATTAAGATATATTTATATCTGTTATAACTTATAACACATACAGCAAGCATATTTCTAATTTAATTTATTAAATGTCAGATCATATCGTCAACATTGTCTGCTTTGGAAACTATTTGGTATTCTGTTTCGAAGTTGAGACAAGCTTATTGAGTTATATATTATGTATAAGTACTCAAAATGTCTTGCAAAAACTTAGGAAAAAACAAACAAATTTTTTTATGAACCCATTTGAAAAGTACATGTTACTTTTTCTTAATATAAATTGCTATAAGCGGCTTCTTCTGCTTTTTATTATTTTATTTCTTTTCTTAAAATTATGTCGAGATTTTTCTTCATCTCGCTGGTGAAAATGTTTGATAAATTTTGTTCAACTGTTTGATTTAAACCGAATTTATATTTATAATTTAATCGGAATCACATTTTGATTATTATTCTTATTTGGTCAAGACGATAGATGCTTCAATTATACATGTTTAAAGATTTGATTTTGAACTGCAATTTGTTAGAAAAAATTATCCAGGATTTCAAAAGGTCTAAGGTCTGAATAAAACCAAAATTAAAATTATGAAAGTATAAACAAATTTATATTATTTAAAAACTATCCTCTGGTTATCGATACACTTTTGTCATTTATAATATTAAAAGAAAAATGTAAAAATTTATTATATGTAAAAAGATAGATTTATCGTCGAACCAGGGATAAAAAGTTCAACAATTTGGAGCTTAGACGAACTGAAATCCATTTAGAACATGTTATAGTATAATATATCAGCAAAATGGCCGCCAGTTCATTCACCTAAGAACAATTGAGCGAAGATGTAAATTAAATCGAGAGGCTGGGACTCGGGAGATCCTAACATCTCAAAGAGGACTTTCTTTTTAGTTCTCTAACAAGTTAATTCACGAGTTGTAGCTTCAAGTTGAAATCTCCACTTAGGAAGCACCGAGTATTCGTTCACACGTTCTTGGGTTTTTCGGTTCTTTTTGTTACTTTGAAGGACCCAAAAATAATTTTGGCTAAAATATTGTAGTCCGAATATTACTTATAAATTCAGATTTTTATAAATAAATACGGCATGAAATCTATTTTTTATAAGTGGAGAGCTTAGGAGAAATATTCTCTTTTAATTAGTAGATTCTAAATCTAAATCAAATTTTTATATTATATTAATACGTCTCGTATTATCTCAAAATCTACTGATTAATACTGAGTATGTAGTTAATTTATTTTATAGATTTGAGGAACACAATCCGAATATAAAATATTATATAACGTATATTTATTTCTAAAATATTTTGAATAATAAATTATAATATTCTATTTCCATGAATTTATTTCTTATGTGCCTTTAACTTTTCAGATCACGGAAGCAATGTTGGATATACATACATATGTATATTGTTATCTAAAATTATCAGGACATCTTTAATCTATTGAAGTGCAACTCGGGCTCAGCAGATCACGACCTTATTGCTTTAAGTATAAGATTGAAAACCAGACAACCTAAAATATATGAATGTTAAAACCTAAAAAATATTAGAACCCAACTCCGCGATACAAATAAGCATTACCTAACTTTATTATAATCTTATTTTAATGTACCTTACTAAAGTGCTATAGAAGTAATTAAAAATACAAAATAAATTACAAAATTGAAGCTAAAAAGTCGCGATTAAGCTAGACGTCTTAGAAGAATTATAATATAATAAATAATACAATAACGTGTAAGAAAAATAAAAATATATCTTAATATATGTTCGCTTCATTATTTATATCCAATTTAAATGTTACAAATGGTTACAATTTGTTCATTTTATATGTTACATTTCATTTCCACTAACGACCGAATTGCTAGACAAAACTAATACAATTACACAGCAATGGCAAACAGGCGAATAAATCATAACAATGTGCTTGTAATTTCTAGTTTGACCTGCTGACTTACTTTCACTGAGGGGTAGCTAGCAAGGGTGAATGACGTCACGGTTTAGCCCCTACAAGATGAGATCATCCCTACCAAGCGATGCCACTTTGCTCCATAAAAGTAAGCAGGCGCTTCACATGAAAAATTACTCGAAATGTTTCGTAACCCTACAATTACGATAGTTACTTAATTACCATTAAATTGTTAGTTAATTTAATTTTTATTTTATTATATATATGTCAATTCAGAAGCTTTACTATTATTTGATTGAGTACAGGCTATAGTATTATTGAGAGTTTTCAAATTGCAATGCGTTCGTCCTTTGAATTGCTATTTACAAAAGAGCTTTACATTAACTGTTACTATGAAAGTAGTTCCATATCTCTATAGTCCGGATTTAAAATCACATAACAATATCAGAGCAGTACAGATAAAATTAATGTAAATGCCAACGCGTATTTCGGGTGAACACTAATATCTTGTTTTGATCCCCGTCTTAGTTTAGTCGGAATTAAATTATTATTGTGATAGTAAACTGTTACGACATGCGATTAAAACTAACCACGAAGCAGTTAAGACGCAAATAATATATAGTACAATAGCATGACATAGCTTTATAGCTAATATCGGCAGTGATGAAACGTAAAGGCGGCATTAGAATAACCCTTACTTCTGCTCGTAATTCTAATACCACCTTAGATTTTAACGACTAAAGGGAGCCATAGGAATAAGGACAAAATAAACGAACCCTTTTGAAATGGCCAATTCTCTTATGGATTTCACTATGAAGGTATAAAATGTGTATTTTTCAAATGGATTTTTGAGTGCTTTCAGTTTTTGATAGCCAAATCTAAGCGCTCGAATTTAGTGACGCGTTGAATGTAGGGTGCGTTTACACTCTTTTTACTTTTACGGTTAGTGCCAGTGATAAAATTGCACATTTGAATATTCTTGCACTCGGAATTTTTGCATTCAAACTAAGTAAAGCGATTCGTCACTTTATTAAGAAAATTAGACACATACTTACTTTATTATAGTTTCCTTGTATAATTTTTTAATAATTTTTTTTTTGAGAACTGACGTTTACGAAAAGAGTTAATATGTTACACGGTTTCATCTTATGGCCTGAAATATATATAAAATACCATATTTAGACTTTGATGTTTATTTACATATTTAAAAATAATTTTAATTCAATTTAAGTTACGGAAAAGTTTCTGCAATTCAATTATAAAAATCCCAATGCATTATACAATATATTTTATGTTACTTCAACTATGTATATTTCTGTCAATAGTATTCGCATAGAAATCACATATTTTAAAGTAATATATTTTCACTAAAACGACCAGGAGAATGGAACTTTTATTGATGCAGATTCTATAATCAATAACTTTCAAGATCGTCTTGTATCTTTGGAGTTTTACTTCAAGTCTGTGTCTGCCAAATCGCTTTCCGAAATGGCCTTATTAATTCCCTTTTATGTCTAGCGAAGCACACACGGCCATATAAACGATTTACGTTTAGTTTACAATGTTAGCTTTTCTTTATGTTACAATAAAGTAAAGAGAATGTAGAGGATTGTCCCTAAAAGTAATATCTTGTTTTAATTGTTGTCGACTTCGCACCTGAGGTCTTAAATAATTGGATGATATTATGTTCCTTTGTTTAAATTTGTTATACGTGTATTTTATGGGACATTGCTTCTGTTTTGTTGAATATATATGATCTATATATATTATGTCATAATATAATGTATTACATATTATAAGAATACTAATATTCATCTGAGCGAGAGAAAGTTTTGAATACCTACATGATATACCTATAAACAGGTCCAGTGGTTCTGTGGAAGTTGAGCCAGCCATCAAACTCCAATATTGTACGAGATATGTCTTTTGATGTTCCTCAGTCGCATGATATTGAATAAACTCTTATATTACGTGCTTTATTTTTATTTAAGGATAAATCGAGATTCACCTCCCAAATTGTAAGGGATGGACGCTTTTAAATTAAGTCGCCATCTCATTACGGCCCCATAAAATGTTACTCTTATTTACAAATACGTTGAACTTTTTTATAAAATAAAACGGATATATACAAAAAAGGAATGGAAGGATAAATAATTATTATTACGTGTCAATGCGAGGAACAAAAGCAATTTTTTATTTTAATTTTATCGTTACATACCTATGTAGTTTTTATGTGAAACTCATTAACGGAAATTAATATTTTTTCCATATTTTAGGGTTTCCAAATTTTGAGTTAATGAGTGAAGATGTGAAGCACTTATGATATTACAATTCATATATTTTTCACTAAAAGCTTTACTTAAAACGCCTCTAAGAATGCTCGGTTTATCTTTTAAACAATAATTATTTTCTTATAATCAAAAATTCTCAATCTAATCGATTAAAGAAATAATTATGATCCAGATTTCTTGATTTTTATAAGTAATTCAATGAACACAGTTTGCTTCCAATAAATTGACGTGAACGAAGAAGTTCACTTAATTTACTTTTCGTTACTGGTCGCCGCTCTGCGGGTCGAATGGATGGATCATTACCGGCCCATTTGCGGAGCAAACCTTGTTAAACATTGACATTAAATAATGATTTCTATTTCCTACCGACATCGAATACTACTGACTGAAAATTTGTACAGCGAATGTTGATTACAAAAATCTATGTGGGAGTGGAAATTGAAAATGTTTTGCACTTAAAAACTTCAAGTTCGATGTTTCATTATACGTTTATTGGAAATAGGTTTTTATATGTACGAATTTAGCAGGAGACGTTTTTTATATTAAAGACTATTTGAGTTTAATATGATTTTTAGCTTATTAAAACATTTTGTAAAGATATGACGTCTATGAAATTATTTACAGAACAAAATTGAAGATTATTATTTTTTGTATCACTGAACCTACGAAGGTTAGTGACCTTATTTGACTTTGTGCGAGGCATTTTATTATTACTTTGGTGAAACAGATATTTTATTTTTAAATCGTTACTATTGAGTATAAATATGTAGTTATAGTTATTGAATTTGATATTTCGTACTTTTATTAAACTAATTGATTGTACATTTTTTGCAGAAGTATAAAGGATGGAATTATCTGCCAGAATCTTTGGTAAACATAAGCAAAAACTATCCTGCAAACCATCGAAGTTTCATGATAAATGGTATAATAACCTACATTTTCTATTCCTTCATTAAATCACATTTACGTTTTTACATGTAACTATGTACTTGCTTATTTTACTTTGTGTCATCACAGTCTTTCAATATTTCTTTTCGAATTACGATTCTTATTTAATATCTAGGTTATAAATATGTAAATAACTACTATAATGTGTCAAGATCTATGAATGAAAAACTGTCTACACTCCGTATATAGCATGACGCTGCATTTGACGCATTGCATTATAAATTGAATAATCATAAAAACAATCAAAAATACCCTTAAATGTTATGTTTCTTATAAACAGGATGACTCCTTGAATGATTTTCTATGTTAGTCGTTTACTAACAGACAAACAACGAATCTCATTCTCTCTCAGTGATTTATTGGGGAGTTCAAATCGCAGACGACTGCCATTTGTATCAATACACTCTCGAAAAAACCTTTTACCGATTCTTATTCAAACTGCTCATTACATTGATGTGTGGGTTTCCTAATTACTGTTTTGGTCGGAGTGGGATTCTTTGTTTCTTTCGGTATTGTCATCGTGAGTAAGGGATTCCATCTAACAAAAGTAATTTCAGATTAATTATATATATGTAGGTACTGGTTTTGAGAAACATGTATAGTATTTAGATATGAATTTAAAATGAAAAATTATTAAAATATCAGGACGACTCTTATAAAAATAAACGAAAATCGGAAATTACTTAGATTATGTAAAGAAGATGTCTATATACCTTCGTAAATTGTTTGAATATTATTTTTAAAAATCAAAATCTTTCGTTCATAATGTTTCTAGTTTCGTTTATAAGGGTTCTGGAAAAACAATATCACCCTTATAGTCACTTTTCAAATCTATTTCAAAAGATATTGCTGATATTGTCAAATATAATATTAAGATTTTCATTTTCAATGCTGTAAATATGGTTATGAAAGAACGAAGAGCAAATTTAATGAAAGGCTTTCCAATATTAAATGTAAACAAATTTTATCATTTATTTTTTGTGATTTTACCATCAGCGACATCATATATCATGCCGAGGAAGGCTTAAGAAGGCACCAGATGTGATAGAAATCCAATATTTTGAGATTATGTGTGAAAAATATCACATTATGAGTCGTAAATCAAGGCAGGCGATAGTGTAAACGCAGTGGCTACTAGCTCTCGTAAATAATATTAGAGTCATCCATAAAACTTGACACTAGGAGGGACGATCAGCTTATATCTGAATACTTCAATAATATTTTATTTATAACGAATGTCAAATGAAATTTTCATGTTTAAATATAAATGTACGTTTCTTGCTAAAGCTATTGTGTAATTACAAATTACAATAATGATGACAATGAAAATAATAAGTTTTATAATATCGATAATAATACTTTCAGTTTGATATAACCATTAAATTCAATTTATAAAATTTTCTTATATTTATTTCCACGTAGAAATAAAATAAACTTCCCATTTTCAAGATATTTTGACTCTAACTATTATTTATACATTAAAATTCATTGTTCTTATGTGATTTCGTTTTAATTATGTATTCCCAAATGTTAAATGTCTTGTAATATATATCTCCCAGACTTCTTCACTCAGGAGTAATAATGACTTATCGGTTAGATATAGATTTTTCATTAGGGTTTAGGTTAAAAGTAATTCAGAAGTGAAATTTTGTATATTTAAAATTGTATTTCAAGACAAACGAAATACTTTTATTTTAAATATAAAGTAACGATCACTTTACAATCTTATACTCTTGTTTTATAGGAAATCTATAGAGGTGAAGCTTGTATAAAACTAAGTAGATTTAAAATACAATAACGCTTAAGAGAGTACAGGTGTAGTCGAAAGATATTTATAAAAGAGTATTACAAGATATAAGGTACGTAATCTTGTTACTGTTGTTTTAAAATAGAGCAAAACCCTATCGAACCTCTTTTTAGTTAGAATTATTTAAGTAAGCTTTCGAGACAGTTGGAGAGGCCACCTCTCTAGTGCCTCTGATCGCCAATTTATCATGACATCTCCCCAGGTCCTGTCGCAGAGGGACTATTTTGAAACGTTTCGTATAAATAATTCAGATACTCGTAGTACAAGCTCTTGATACAACTTAATAGTGTGGCTGGATATTGACGAAACTCAAATTCACATAATAAAAAAAAATATTGATCAGTCGATAGGCAAATATTTTTTTTATTTAGGTATACCTTTTTATTTTTACGTAACTTTATTTTTTTAGAACCTTGAATATATAAAGAGGTCGAAATAATTGAAAGTATACTGTTTAAACTTCTTATGTGTATGATGAAACATTAAGATTAAAGAAATATATATTAAAAAAAAATTAATAATAAAATTCTCAATTTGTTTGTCAATGATTTGTCACGATCATTTTACTAGGAATATTATGTTATATTTATTTTGCTACAGGTATCTTGACGGTTATTTTCCTTTCCCATTTCATAAGTAATGTAACAATTCATTTCTACCTTCAATTACTGGTAAATGACGTATTTGATGATATACGTTACCATACAGTCATAGCAAGATTAATCTTAATATTTTCTTTTAAACCTATTGATTTATGTACCAAGGTATTTAAAGCTAGTCAAACCTGCATTTGGTGTCCTTTTTGAATGTTACAGTTATATATTTTTTAAAGACGTTTCTATATTTTTCAATCCTTTTACCAGCAACAATCCTTGAAAACGTTCTTTTGTTGAAGAGTACCTTAGACTGATTGATTTCTCCAGAACTTCTACTATACAAAGCGATACTTTGTATTTTATGTAAATTTTACCTGGAAGTATAAAAAGTGCCTTATACTTTTGTATTTATAAAATCCTATTACAATTTTCCTGGATACTTATTCTATGGAATATGTATACCTATAACTTGTTGAATTATTTTGTACTAGTGCTTGACATACGTAATAAACATAAGATAACTTGTATATCATAAATGTCAATGGGCCAATAAAAAATTTTAATGCAAAAAGTTATGCCCTTTAACCTATTGGAATCTTGTCAAAATAAGTATATCCGGAGCAATGAATCTAAAAAAAATCTATATTATAACTTCTATTAATTAGGCCTGATAATAATTCAAAAACACTAAGTACACGTGATAAAATCCTAAGAAAATATTTATCGCTTACTATCTACTTCGTAACGAGTGTATAATCAAATGACGATAGAATTGGGGAAGCGAACACAATTAGCAGACGAGACATGAAAGTTAATGATGTTAATCCTTAAGCGAATTGCTAAGGAAATTGCGTCCTACTTTCTATCGAATTACTTGATTTGGCACTGGGTCGATTAGTATGGGCGACAACCTGATGATTTGTGGACGCATTTCTTATCCCAACCATAGTAAACAAGCGAAACAAGCAGTTTTATACATGCTGGTTCAATATATTATATCTAATATAAAACACTTTTTCTAATATTATTTTGCTCTTATCGAAATAAAATATTTATACTCGTTATACGCATGTTTTTTGTTAAATACGTATTATATTAATAATGTTGAAATAATCATTAATTTTAATGAATTTTATGTATTGAGAATTAATGTGCAGGAAAACGTAAAACTAATGGTACTCATAACAGAACCCGGAATATCCACAAATGAGCATATATAGAACATATGTGAAATATTATATATAAGTACGGATAGTAAATAAAGTTGAAAATTTCTTTAAAATTTTATAATATTTATACTAAATTTTTTTCATAGCAATTATATTTTCTTAAGTAATTGAGCTCTGTTTTGATGTAATATTTTCATATTGATCACAATATATGGCAGTTTTGAAAATGACAAGCATAACAAAGAATTTATTATAAGTACAGCATAAAATCAGTAGAAACACCTTGTTCACCTTTAGGATCCGGTAAGCGAATTAAAAGGGAACTCGAAATTGTACTTCATTCATTTTATTCGTCAGGTTCTTGAACAGTAGTGGTAACAGGTTTAAGATAATTTCTTATAAAAAAAATGTTATAATGAAGCACTCTTTGTTATTATTTGGTTTGTCGCTGCTATGGAATAGAACACGTATGTACCACAAATAATAATATCTTATGATGTATCCTAAATAATCATAATTTCATGATAACAAATACAAAGAGAAAAAAGTGAAGTGGAAAAAAGTTGATACGGATATGAGCAAAATACTGTGTTGCTTTGGATGTATTAAAACTGCATCTTTGTTTAGTGAATTGTAATTACATATTATGATGCAGTTAGTTAGACTTCCAGTTTAAATACAAAACAAACCTTTTTGTTAATATATGTAAGTTTCAAATTATGTTTTGTGTTTTCAGTGTCAGATACTTGTAAAACACCTGTTGGACAAACAAGCCACTGCGTATCTTTGTACAAATGTCCTCAACTCGTCACTGCTTTCGAACAGAAGCCTTTAAAAAATGAAGTAGTTGCCTTTTTAAAACAATCACAGTGTGGTTTTGAAGACAACGTTCCAATGGTTTGTTGTGGAGGACTACCAGATGGAATGCTTCAGGTATCTACAAATACGGTAAAAGATAATCTTAAATTAATTAGCAATTTAAAATGTGCATCATATAAACGAATTACTGTTGTTCGATTCGTATTTAGAATTTTCTTCTCTCTCTTCATATTTTCATCTATGATGTATTTTACATAATTTACTTTAAACTCATGGTTTTATTTAGGCTGTTATGTCAATATTTCTAACAGTTGATTTAGTTCAAAAATTTTACTTGCAAAAAATGCTTTTACTTTTAATCTAATCAACCATAACAATGGATAGTTCAATGGATACTATCGTGTTTTGATTTGTATAAAAATTTTCTCGTTTAATTAGTGATGTATACAAAAGGGCATAATATTGTGTTTGAATTTAAAATCTTACTACTAAACTCTGATGTTAATTCATTAATTAAATTTACAAAACATATTTTTCCTCTATAATAGCCCAAGCCAGTAAAACAATCGACATTAAAGATTAATGCGGATCCCGTATTTAGAGAAGATTCTTATTTAACTACTCCAGAGCAATGTGCTGTGGACACAAATGGTGATAAAATATATGGAGGACAGATTGCTGAAATTGATGAGTTTCCATGTATGGCCTTATTAGGATACAAACCTGGTGAGCAGTTCAAATTAATTGACAGTATAATTTTTCCCTCAATGACTTTTTTTTAATAAGGAAATGTTACCATTAAAATTAACTTAAAAATATAACTTGAAAATTTACAATTCCAAAAACATATAGTGGTTTTATCTTTTATAATTATTGAAAGTTACAAAAATTTCATATCTAGCCACTAAACCAAAATTAGTGTACGACTGTGGGGGAGCTCTGATAAATAGAAGATATGTTCTAACAGCAGCTCATTGCGTCGTTGGAAAAATCGAAACTGAAGTTGGGAAGTTGTAAGTGATAATAAATATGATTTTGCATTATACATTTGGGTGTTTACTTTCATTTTTATTCCATATTTTGTTAGAAAGTAATTGAGTACGAGAAAGAATTGATGATATAAATGTTTTACTCTCATTCGTTTTATAACGTTTTTGAATATCGCTTTAGTTTTTGATATTTGGGTTTCGAAACATTTGATCGTTTTTTTTTCAGGAGCACTGTACGATTGGGTGAATACGATTTACAAGCGGACATCGACTGTTCTGACGGTGTCTGTGCGGATCCCGTTCAAGATATCTCTGTACATTCAGTATATCCACATCCAGGGTTCTCTGACCAAAATATAAACAGGAAAGATGACATCGCCTTGATACGGCTCGCTCAGAGAGCTACCTATTCTCGTAAGTTTTTTTTTCAACAGCCTTATCCTTTTTCTTTACCCAATTATCATTTTATTGCTAGCAAAAACAGAAAAGTGGAGTATAGTTAAGGATTATTGTTATATTGTTGGAACCCAGAGGTACTCATTCATATTGAGTTGTAGTTATAATCTAACCTCTAGATCCAACAGTGTAAATAATGTTAATATTATGACCATCATCCTTGGGTTAAAAAGACGGTTGTTTCTTATCCAATTTATGTTCAATTTAAAAATCCATAAAGTTTTTGAAAATATAGCCTGTGAAGGGAGAAAAATTATTATACAAATACACTAACTGCCTTTAACTGTTAAACATTATAACATTAACTAATTAATATTATGATAAACTACAGATTATGTCCAGCCAATATGTCTAGCGCACAACAGGCCTTTGGATACTACCAGTCATTTCTATGTTGTTGGTTGGGGGGCTACAATCGGTGGTAAGATTAAGTTTAAACTATCAAATGTATATTAAAAAAAACATGTCATTAATGTCCCAGATGATAATAGTTAAAATTTTTGTTAGCATAGGCACATTGTAGTATTTCAAAAATTGATAATTTGTTACCTCAAAAGTAGTTTTTACAGTACAAGAAAGTATACCACAAAATTAATAAAAAAATTTAGAAAAGCATTAACGTATTATGAAGAATACAATAACTATAAATAAAAATTTCTAAATTTAACATAATTAACAGTAATTTGGTAAAAAGTTATAGCAGCACATCAAATATTCGAGTACCATATTTCAAAGAATTTTATTTGTCACAGGCAAAAGCAGTCCAGTTAAGCTGACATTGCCATTACCTATATTTGATAAAACTCTATGTGTTCAGAAATATAGAACTCTTAAAGCAGAGTTAACGGCAGGACAAATCTGTGCCGGTGGACACTTTTCTAAAGATACATGCAATGGGGACTCTGGTGGTCCTCTTGCTAGGAAGACCGAGTCTGGAATTTGGGAAGCAGTTGGTGTCGTTTCTTTTGGATATGGATGTGGTAGGGATGGCTGGCCAGGAGTTTATACCTCTGTGCCCAGTTATTATGATTGGATACAAGAAACTATACGTGCTACTAATCTATAAATGTCAACAGTTATAAAATTAAAGTAATTTATTTTACCTATCCTGCTTTTTGATTTGATAAAAAAGTTATCGGTATTATTTATATTTATAGTATTTAGGATACATGAACACAACTTTTACTTCAACAAAATTTATTTTTTGCATATTTTATATTTTTGTTTCACTAGTTGTTTAATTTATTTTTTCTATCTACTGTTGGTTTTTACACTGCGGTATCATACGGTTTGTGGTTTTATTTAATTTAAATATTCGTAATCTATTGTTTTTTTGGTTTTTCATACTTATTTTACCCAAAAACATACAACCTCACACTTTTGAACTTTACACACCATTTTATGTATTTTTTGGTTTTGAGGTGTTTAAATGCGAGCGATGGAGACACCCTTGTGTTTTTTTCTTTTCATTCTAAAAACAACTCTCAAGTTCCGTCTTAAACTTTTTCTCCTTGTGAAGAGTTTAACCGTAATTACATACTTCACCTGCTATTAGACGAATGTTCAGATCACACAAAGCTTAGAAGGTGCCGTACGAAGTAACTTTTGATTAGGATTAATGTTTGAAAATTGTTTTTCTTTTTATGAATTCTTCATATCACATTTCTTGTATTAGAGAAAAGGCATTAGGGTATAGACTTCATCAGATTCTCTATATTAATAGTAACTCTTAAATTATAAGAACAAGTATAAAAAAAATACCATATTATGCAGCTCGATTTAATTTTATTATTGTTTTTCCCTTTTATTTTGATCACTAAAGAAATTTATTTTAATATTTAATTTTCAAACTGGATCATAAATTAATTTCTATGTCTTATAATTAATAGAACTAAATTATTTTTGATATCCAGAAAGTTAATATTTTCAAATTAAAAGTTGCGCAATTGTATTATGTACTTAATTATTAATATATGTTGTTGATTCAGTTGGTGACGAATTATTTTAAAAAAACAATCGCATAAGGGAAAACCCCAAATATTATTAAAAAGAGAACAACATATGCTGCAATATATTTATACTTTGATAAAATTTAAATGACCAATTATATATCCTTAATTAAAATATATTTGTGTAAACAACTGAATGAGGAGAGATATTTGTCATTTGAACTTCTATACAGTTCAATAATTGTTCTGATAAGAAGCTATGAAGGTATTAAAATTTATAGTTTTAACTACCATACCAAGATCAAATGATTAATTATACATATGTCCCAGAATTGGAAGATTGGTTGTTTGTTGCAAATTAAAAAATTGTCTTAATAAACATGGTCATGATGACGCTGATTTTAAATATAAATAATAATGTTGTTAGCGATGGTATCAATTCACTATAGTTATAAAAACCAATTCGAAGAGGTACAAAATCACGCCCCGGGTAGTCCAATTGAAATGTTTACATATATACATATATATATATATATATATATATATACATATATATATATATATATATATATTACTAGAGCGAAAAACACTACCGGTTTTATATGTACCTACTAATAAATAAAGCAGACAGGTGTACATGACCTAATCTTAATGTAATATTAAAATTAATTACTAGCAATACTTATGATTACACAATGTTTTTTCTGTAAATGATTTTCCTTGTGATATATTTAAATGATCGCCGTTATTGTATAATATTATGAAAATATATTGATTTTGTTTCAAACAAATTCTCAGTGTTTTCAAAAAAATTCTGTTTAAAAAGCCTTGTGATTGATTTTTTTTAGATATAGTGCGGATCTGAAGAAATTTTCCTTAAGATTGCTATGGACTGTTACTGATTCTCTAGTGCGATATATTTTGAATTGCCAGAATTAGAAGGGTACATATGAATGGTTTTGTTGAGTTAAAATACTACTTGAGGTTAATCAATATAGCCCACAACTAGTCTGATATCAGGATTATTTAAAATTTTCATAAAACAATTAGCGTGGTTTATTCTTTTTGTCATTAGTGTTTAACATTTATGAAAATATACAAAAATACTAGTTCAAGATATATTTAATAATACAGAGGAGTATTAATTAAACAAAGATATTAACCTAACCACAATTGGATTTGTTATTTAAAACATGAAAATTGAAGTTTCTAAATTCTGAATTATAGCTATAACTTTCTATAAATTGGATATTTTGATGTTAGATTTTTTTAAAAACTATTTTACATTTGCTTTCGTTGCCATGTTTTGTATCGTTCTTAGATACTAGCTTTAAAATTTTAAACGGTTGTAGATTATGTACCGGAAGATACTTAAATATTTTTATTTAATTACTTAACGAAGCAACTTATTTTGTCATACCTAGAAAGACGTGTTAACCTACCCTCTAAATATATGGTAAATATTTGTGGTTTTTAATGTGAACACATTTGATCATGAACCCTGGGTGAACTTCAATATCAATAGGTATAAAGTATTCCCTCTCCTGACAGCTGAAACTGAAACTACGAGTCTTAACGATGGGCGTTAAAATCATCTTCTAGCCATCACTGCGTAGCTTGAAATCGGAACAAACTCCATATGTGGCCCACACATGTCCTTACATATCAGTCTGAAGATAAAGAGATCATGCTGATGAACATTTTATTCAAGAGATGAACTCGAATATGTAAGGTACTTCGTAGCTCTAAGGTAATAACAGGTACAGGTCTGGAAATGTAGGACTGAAAAGATAATAGGGTGAGTCCTTAGATGTCAGTAATTCACAGTATTTAGTAGTAGGAAGTGCAGCTGTAGAACAAACTTACGTAAGATATTTAAACTTTTAATTTTTGTAAAATATAAAAAGTAATTTCAACTCTTTGGGATCAAAACCAAAAACAGATATGCTTCTCAAACTGTTAGTCTTGACTGATCATAGATCATCGTATATGGATAAAAAATTATAGTATTTATTAACAAAAGTGTGTCATAGTCATAGTACGTAAATCTGAAACAAAATGCAATCTGTAATGACCACTGTCATTTTCTATAACAATTTTCTCTTGGAATTGACATATTTCTTAATCTTACGAAATGAAGTTATAACATGCTAGCTTTCCGCCTGTAGCTTCGCCTGCGTGTAGTTCGATAAAAACTATTTTATTTTCTTTCTCAAGGTCTACTCTATCTCTGTACCAAATTTCATTAAAATCAGTTCAGTGGTTTAGGCGTGAAAGCGTAACAGACAGGGAGATAGACAGACAGACAGAAATACTTTCGCATTTATAATTTTAGTAGGGATTGGACGGGCCTCTAATTCTGACACAATGAAGAAATTTCGAAAGATTGTAGCCTTACAAAAATATTTAAATTCTCTCCATAAAAGATTCTCCCGAAGATTTTTTCGTATATAGATATAGGATAGTTTTATAAATGAAGTTTGAAATACAACCATATGGTATTTATTCTTTTTATTGATCCTAGTATAAAAGTATTTTGTATTTCCCCAAGTATGAATAGTTATCAGAAATGGAAACGAGTCAGACCGTCTCTGAGATGTTCTCTTACTATGAAAAAAACCCTGGAGTTTGATTTAAAAATTCTTAAACTATAATTCTTAAACCATGAACTTTGTTCAGATTTAGTTGAATTAGTAACTGAATTAATAACCGAGATTTGTAATGTTTACATACAATACTCTCGAAGATTGCTATTGATGTTTTTTTTTTGTATGAATAACCAATAAAAGATATCTAATATTAACTAACTCGTTCATAAACTTTTAGTGGAGATAATGTTACCAGTCAAAGATACAACTCATTGTGTATTGTTGCAGTGCCTCATCTCCCATTTGAATCTCATCGTTTGCTTTTTATCTTTTTCCTTTTATTTACAATTCATATTTGCAAATAAATTGAAATAATTTGGTAAAAATAAAAATAAAAGTTATTATACTTGACGGCGCATCCGTCAAAAATCATACGTCAGGTTGACTTTTAGCTGTCTGAGGTTAGCCTAGTGAAGCGTCATTGTGATGGTAGCGAGGGCGGCCATCTTAGTGTGGTTCGGGATGACGCCCGCGCACCGCGCTCGTGACGAATCGCTGTGTATCGAAGTGATAGTGATATCTAGTGTTTCGATTGAGTTGGTGTCGTATTGAATAGACTGTACTTTATCCCTTTCAAAGTATGAGTTCCCATGAAGGCCCTCCTGTTCTTATAACGCCCTCCTACATCAGAAGTGGGATCGAAAGGGCTTTAAAATGAGGAGAGTAGTGATCATCCATCTATGTTAAACTTTGTAAAAAATAATGAGAAACTTGTCGATGAAAATAATGTCAACTTCTCAACTAACTTCGACGACGTAATTGATCCGGTTCAATCTGGATCGTACGGAAGCAGATATAAGGGTTAGGACGTCTCGTCGTGTCTTGATCGTAAAAGGTACCGGTAATTGAGGCTCGCCGGTGAAGGAGATATCTGTGTGACCATGGGCCGAGCCGAGGGGAGTTGACGACGTCATCTGGTGAGACTGTTCCTTTTCTTTTTAGTAGTGGGTGTACTTGTTCATGTAGTACTAATGTGTGTCTGTATCTGAAAATTTTTCAAATAAATTTCTGTGTACTTTGAGCAATGAAGTAGTTCCCCTGAAAGGCATCTGAACGCGTAGTATACGGTCGAAGCGAACGGGCGACGATATGAGTTTCACGCTTACCCACCACTTCGTAAGATTTTAATATTAGATCGTATTAGCGAATAAAGGTCATTCAACCTTGCGCTTCGGTACTGAATACTCTAGTCATACTTCGTGTACATTAACAGTCAATTATTATTAGTGTTTCTACGTCTATAGACTTATTGTAATGCACAAATTTTAAGCCCGGTCATAATTCAAAATGTTTCAGTGTCTCTTTTGTTTCATATTATTAAAGAGAATATTATTTTTGAATCCGTGGTTGTTGGACGGGACCTTGTAGAGTAGGGAATTAAAGGAGAAATAAACAGTGACTACATTATTTTCTCAAAACCTGAAACGACAAAAACAGATAAGTGCTCAACCTCAGACAATCTTAACTTT